GCCAATACAGTGTAGAGAGCTCCGCACACTCAGCTTTAGGGTGAGTGTCTTAATCCTCATCTTCCAAATAGATGCCTCACAAGCCTAAATACCACTGATCCCGAACCACTCCCCCTTGTCCCCCACAAGAGGACATGCTCACATTTTGATTGCTAGTCCTGAGCAACCAGGCACCTGCCTTCTAGCCCTGAAGGAAAGCCTGGGGTCTCTCCACAGGTTAAGGTTTGCTAAGAGGCTATTGATAAAATGTATATGGCTTATTTTTCTTTTTTTTTAAGAAAAGTGGATATGAAATTGGAAGGAGTGGAGGGAAGTCCTTGCTGCTGATAGCTGCTGTGTGAGGAAGGGCTCATCTCTGTCCCACCACTTTCCTGAGGGCGGTTCCTCAGGGAGCAGGGGGCCTGCTAGGCCTGCTCCTGTGACTTCTAAGAATCAGAGGTGCAGGGGCTTCTGCCAGCTTGTCCCCAGCCATGCACAAAGGGCTGGGCCGAGAACCCTAGGCTTCTGACATCAAGGCTTGCACCCGACAGTGTCCAGCCTTGAAAACAAGCAAGCACTCCGTAAGGGCCTTCCAGAGGCCAGTGCTTTCCTGCATCCTGGGATTCAACAACAGTGGAAAGAGTCTACACATGAGGAAACTCTCCAGCAGGGCATACTCAACTTGCCAATGTCACACAGCTAGGACAGTCTCCAAAGGTCCAGGCACTTTCCACAACTCAGAACCTGCATGGAGTGGCTGGCTGAGTTTAAGTTTCACGGATCTCTACACCTTTTGTGGTTCTCTTATGGTCAAGAGTCTGCGAGTGAGCCTGGAGTGGTCAGGCTGCCCCTATGGTTTTACCATCAGAGCACTCACAAAGACATCTGGGGTTAGTGGGTGCTGAAATCTAGCTAATTCACCAAGTCCTATGCCCTGGCAAAAGGGGGCTGCATCCATGGGAAGAGGGGGCACTTGTGTGTGCGTGTGTATACAAAGGAGGCTTCTACACAAGATTTGAGCCCACTAGGATGGAGGGTAGCCGTCTTTCTAATTCTGTACAAAGTCACCATAGAGGTCAGAGAGTGCCCTTGGAGGGTGGATATAAGTCTAGGATGACAAATAGTTTTCATCCACTGGGTCAACTCTACCCTTAGTGGCGACTCAGAATGCTGTGTTGAGGAGGACTCTGAAGTCACATTTGGGAAGGAATTCTGCACTCAGTGATTTCTGTCCCAGGTTGGGGATGGGGCAGTGGTGTATGCAGGAGAGTATCTGCCTTTAGCTATCACTGCTGTAAGCTGACACCTTCTGTGTCAACACACAGCCCTAAGGAACCCAATGCCCTGCCCTGGCCCAGAGGGGAGGCAAACCTCAGCCTTCCCAGGGTGTACTTTGCTGTTTATTCCTGAGGCATGGAGTGGGGGTGAGTTTAAGAGGGTTGGAGATTCCTTTGCATTTTAAATCACCACAAGATGCTTTTTAGTGAAATAAGCAGCATCAATCTGCCCAAGATTGTGAAGCTCCTTCTTCTTCCTCTGCTCATCTCTGCCTGTCTTTCAAGCCCAAATTCCCCCCATGAAGACCCCTGCTTGCTCTTTTTTCCAAAGTTTCTCCTGCTTCTCTGAGCTCAAAGCTCTTGGTTTGAAACCACCAAACACCTATCAGACCTGACACCTGGGCAGCTTCAGGGACAGACCCTCTGTACATGCACCCTCCTCCTCCAAATGCCCACTCTAGCTAAATTCAATATTACTCTTATTGCAGTTATTAATACCCCGCTTCCCTCTTGCATGATGGCTTATTCACAGCTAGCAAAGCACCCTCCTGTCACGTCCTCATTTGACCCAGTCTGTCATTAATTGAGAAAAATGAGGTTTACAGAGAAGGCAATGACTTGCCCAAGGCTACTCAGCCAGGTTTCTTTTCTCCAAATCCTGTCTTCTCTCCATTGTCCCATTTTGGAGACCACGAGGTAGACTGAGTCACCAGAAAGGAAAAGAGGCAGGGACCCAAGCCTCCTCTGGAGATTCCCTCCTTCCTGTGGTTCTGAAGACAGTGGATGGGGCCAGAGCTGCCACATCAGGATACTGCCAGATCAGGACCAAAAAAGGGAGAGCTAGGATGTGGAATGGATAAGGAGCAGGCAGCTTAGCCATCAGGCTTCCTGGGTGACCCTGGGCAAGTCCCTTTCCTTCTCTAGGCCATGGTGCCTCCTCCTCTGTAAAGCGAAGGCTTGGGCTGGGACTTCTGACATTTTGAATGCAAGGCTTCTTAATGTGTACATGATGAAGAGTAGGGAAGCACAGAGTTTGGGCCTCGCCCAGTCTTCTGAGGCTGGTACGCAGGCCTCCGATACCTATCTGGTCACCCTCACCAATCAGCCCCAATCCCACAGGAGGTGCTGTCTCAGGGAATCCTGACGGGCTGATCTCAGGTCAATCAGCTGCTTTCCAGGCAAACTGCCAGTCAGTTGCTCAAATTTACTGATTACCTACTGGGTACAGAGCTCACATGTTAAGCAGGTGTGCTGTGGGCAAGGGGAGGGAGAAAAGTACAAAACCAAAGAAACCATTCAGACTTCAAAGGGGAGCATAATCTGGCCATCCCTCCATCCAACTATCGAACTAGCAAACATTTTTGAATCAACTACTATCTCTGCATCAGGCCCTGTGGAGGAACTATGGGGAGGGGATGGGGGTGGGATGAAAGGGGCTGAGGGCATCAGTGTGATCACCAGTATGACAAACACCTTCACAGCACCACATCACTCTGAAGGGCAGGGAACCCTAGACCAGGTGTCTCTCTAATTAGGTGTCAGATTCCCATAGTCTCAGGCTGCACATGACAGAAGGGTTTTGTGTGGCTAGCACTTTAGTTCTCCCCAGGCCCCATCACTATCTATCTGTTGCCTTATACCTAGTGATTGCCTGCTGACCCCTACAGCAATTTGAATTTGCAACCTATATTAGGGAAAAATGCCAGCATCAGAACATAACAGGGCTACCCCTACCCAGAAGATGAGTAGGGGCAGATACAGAGAGCTCTGGGCTGGAGCTGGGTGCCTCAGAGTCTCCTCTGGACTCCCCAACTGCCTGCTTGTGCAATTGGAAGATGTCTCCTCTCTGAACAGCAATTTTCTCTAAAAAATCTAGGGAAAGTCTAGATTAGTGGTTCCAAAGCCTATTTCCCCTCCCCCTACCTTGGAATCTCAAAGGTGGTGGTAGAGTTCCAGAGATGACCCCAAATATTCTCAAGGGTAAAACAGTTATCATATTTATTTCCAACAAAGGTGTACCTTCTCTTTAAACAACTAAGTCTAACAGTCCTTACACATTTAAAGGGTACTGTATAGACATGTCTCCAAAGAATAAAAATATTAAGATGTGATTGGTATATGTGCTATTATTTGTATTAATAATCACGAATTGCTTGATAAACAAAATCTTTGAAAACATGATCAAATAATTTGAGACAGAAAAAAATCCAAGGGGTTCTTAGTTTGTGACATGATGGGAAAAGGCAGTACTTGGTCATCACTGAAATCCTTTCATTAAAGTCCATAGATATGCCTCCTGCAGGTAGTAGGAGAAATACTCGTGGAGCAGGGTGGCTGGAGAGCTGACCTTCATGGAATAGCTTCTGATTACCAAGTTCAAACTGGTAAGCTCACAAACATCCTAGAGGTAGGACCGTGACGGTCCCAATTTTACAGAAGAGAAAATAAGCTCCCTCTCACAGGTTAGGTGCTACTCCCAGGTCACTCAGCTGGAAGGTGGCCCAGCTGGCACTTGAACCCAGGGTGGAATGGCTTCAGAGCCAGGTTTGAGGTGGGAGAGGTGATGCAGGTCCCCTCCAGGCGCCTTGAGCAGGCACCCCATGACTACCCCAGACTGAGGGTGAAGGCCCTGGAGCTTCGGGGGTGTGTCTGGTAGAAGCGGGGGCGGGGGCTCCAGCTCCTCCAGGCACACTTGGACCAGGTGGGTCGTCCTGGGGGGCGGGGCGGTGACAGTCGTCTTTCCGAGCTCCTCCGGACACATCTGGGTTCCTGGCGACCCACAGAGGCACCGGGGTGCGCTGGGGCTGGGAGTCCGGGCGGAGGAAAGGGGCGAGAAGCGAGGCGGGCCCAGGGCAGAAATTGGAGAAGCGAGGTGGGGGAGGAGGGAAGGCGAGGGAAGGCGAAGGAAGGAGGCGGGGAGTCCTTCCTGGGGCAGGAACCCGGGCCCCCCTTGGCGGAGCCGGCCAGCAAGCGATTCTGCAGATGGAAGGAATTAAGTGGGAGGGGGAGGGTCCTACCGTGATAGTGAGAAGAGGGAGGGAGAAGTGTGTGTGTGGGTGTCTGTGTGTCTGGCTCTGGGAAGGGAGGGGGAGAGACAGAGAGACACATCAGACTAGACGAAAAGAGAAAAGAGAGAGTCAGAGACAGACTGATCCCCAGGGAAAGTCGACGAGACGGACATAGAGGGGGGACACAGGAGATATTCGTTTAAGAGAGAGGGGAGACTATGAGAAAGGAAGGAAAATAGGAAAGGAAGAAAGGAGAAAAATGAAATAACTGGAGACGATTTCGGAAGCACGAGAGACAGAAGACAGCCGAGAGCCGAGCGAGACCAGACTGATTTGGTGGGGCCTGTGCCGAGCTCCAGCCGGCTGCGGGAGCTGGGCTTGGCGGGCGGGGGCCGGGGTGGGGCTTGGGAGGGCCCGCCCACGGGCGGGCCAGCGCCGAACTGCACCTGTAGGCGAGCCCCGTTTCCCCGCTTACCCCGCCCCCGCCACTCCATATTCATAGAGACGGCCAATGGAGGGCGAGGACGGTGCCAGAGGGGGCGGGGCCTCGCCACCCCTGGAGCGGCCGCCGAAGGGGTCAGCTCTGAGGCAGATAGCGGATCCCGGGGCGGGGCGGGGCGGGGCTGCGCGGAGGGGGCGGGCCCAAAAGTTTCCTGCCCAACTTTCGCTGCCTCCTTCCTCCGCCCGCGCGCGTTGCGGCGGCAGTCGCGGGGAGGCGGTGGCGGTGGCGGTGGCGGTGGCGGAGGCTGAGGGCAGTCTGCAGAGCGCAGGGCGCGGGGCGATCGCGTCGGGGCTTGGGCGGCGGGCAGTGGGCTCAGGCTCCCCGGTGCCCGCCCCTCCGCCTGGGGTGGGGGGCCGCGAGCGGGCGGCCGGGGAGGGGCCGGCACCGCCTCCGCAAAATGAGCCTGCTGTCGGCCATCGACACGAGCGCTGCCTCGGTGTACCAGCCGGCCCAGTTACTCAACTGGGTCTACCTGTCGCTGCAGGACACGCACCAGGCGAGCGCATTCGATGCCTTCCGGCCCGAGCCGCCCGCCGGCGCCGCGCCCCCAGAGCTGGCCTTCGGCAAGGGCCGCCCGGAACAGCTGGGCTCGCCCCTGCACTCCAGCTATCTCAACAGCTTCTTCCAGCTGCAACGCGGAGAGGTGGGTGCCCCCGCGCGCTCCCGCCCTATGTCGACCGCGCCGGGCCTTTTCTGTCGGCCCCGCTCTTCTGGCCTGGCCCGGCCCGTCTCTGTATTGCCCGGCCCTGCTTGGCTTGGCTTCGCTCAGCTCTGCCAAACTCGCTACCCGAAGTCCCTGGGCCACCGGGAGTGTGTTACCTCCTGGCTGAGCCCGGCTTGGAGCAGCTCAGGCGCAGGCGGGGCCCTCTCGCCCCCTTTTCCAGCCTGGTTGCCCTGCTCCAAGGGGACTGGGTGGGCCCCGGCTGGGCTAGGGGCTGCGGATTCTCTCCAGACGGCAGAGGCGCGGCCAGGGCGGGGAGCCCCTTCCAAGTGTCCTTTCCACGCCCAGCCCCATCCCCCTCTTGGCCACCGCTGGCTGGGAACTAGAGTGCGGATTCTGCTGTGAGCTCCTCTGGAGGGGCCTAAAATCTTTCCTCGTCGGAATTCAGTGGTTCCTAATCCGAAGGGCACCCTGGGGAGCAGTGACTCGCCTAGAGGGCTTTTCCTGCTGTTCTCACCCAGGGACCCCCAGATACATCCTCCAGCTGCTTGCTCTCCTCAGCCACATAGGAAGTGGTTTTGGAGGGCTTGACCCCACAGACTGCGCTGTCCCCCGCCCTCCCAGCCTGGAAGGAAATGAAAGGGAAATCCTCTTGAGCTTGGGAGGGGGCCTAGATAGGGGGAGAGGTTCCAGCTGCCCAGTGCCTTCTCCAGAAACCTGGGCGGGCTGCGTTGTGAAGTCTGCCTGTTGGGTGGATTCTGTTACAGAGTCGAAGGGGCAGTGCATCTTTCCCAGCTAGATAAATACACAGATTGCCAGGACCTCCCAGCCCCTTTTGAAGGGTCTCCAGAGCCTTCCTGGATACCACTTCTCTCTCCCCTCAGCTGGACTCCTCCTCCTCCACTCCCACTTAGTCCTGTCTCATTGGGGAATTTCAGACACCCTTCTGTGGCCTTCTCTCACTCCCCTGCTGGCAGCGCTCTCTGCAAAAGTACAGAGGGAAGGGATGGGGGAGAGGACATGCGTGAGAGTCACTTTCCTTCTAGACCTGGGCAGACCAATAAGTTTTAGGAGAGTGAGAGTCCTGAATGGTTTGAGGGAGAAGGTCTGTGTATGCTCCAGTGTGCTGGGGATGAGAGGCAGAGATAGAGGGTCACCCTTTCTGGCCCTCTAATGTGTTCGCCTCTTCCATTAGCGGCCAGAAGAGACATGGACATGTAAAACACTGGCCTAAGGCCTAGAGGTGGGCCAACACCAGGCGAGCTGAGAAGGGCTGGTTGACCTGTGTTGGGCTGGCTGGATATAGTTGAAGGAGATGAGTCTGGAGAGGCACCTTTTGGTGCCAGGCAAAAACATTTGTATGCCGAAGCTCTTTGTAAACTGTAAAGCACTCTCTCTGCATGAGGAATTGTTCTTGGCTGGGAGTCTTTGTTTCTTGTAAGAGAGTTTGCTCCTTCAGGGAACTGGCTTCAGTGACCAGTGACTTTGGAGGACAGTTTGTGGGATGTTTCTTTAGTATCTGGGTCTTTTCGGTTGTTTGTTCTCTTACCAAATATTTGTTGAGCTCCATGTGGGCCCCTGGGGATTCAGTTACAGGCTAATTGGGGCCGGCCCCAGATTAGAAGACAGAGAAGACGATACAGTATGAATGGTGGGTGATGTCATGGGGGTCTTGTGGGAGCCCTAAGGGAGGAAGGTGACCATGACCCACAAGTCAAGTGTGGGGGGATGTCGCTAATCAGCCTCTACTAGCCTTCCTCTGTTGCCACCTGAGGTGGCCTTGTTCCCTGAAATGTGGGTCTCTGCTGAGAGGGCCTGGGATTTTTTGGCCATCAAGAGTCCCCTGTGGGAGTTGGATGTTTTGTCTCCTCTTGGAAATTTCTGGCATCCAGTCTCCCAGCTGGGTCTCAGTGAGACCTGCCTCCTGTCATTTCACTGCTGCTTATCTGCTTACCTCAGTTTCCCCATGAAGAGGCACATTCCTTTGCTGAGGCCAGTGTAGAAGGAGTTGGTAAAGGTTTTCTAGAGCAATGGTGGAAAAAGCCTTTCATGACCTGATTTTGGGGGAACACCCTGTTTCTGTCTGGGCCTCAGTTTACCCATCTGTTAAACGTAGTCTCTGCTATCCCCCAGGGTGTTGTGTATGGGATTTGAGAGCTGTACAAACAAGAGAGGGTGTGCCTTGAGGCTAGGTTGAAGGAGGTAGGAGGGGCTTCACCTATGCTCACAGGCCAGTGGCTTCCTTGGATGGGCTGGAGGGCTGTGCCTGTTGACTTCTGAAAGGCTCTCTTGGCTTCAGGATCACTCACTCTCCCTTCCCACCGACTTTGCCTCCTAAACCCTCTTGGAGCCCCAGTTGTGCTCCTGGGGACGGGCCTTTCCTGCATCCAGGACTTAGCTGGTGATCTAATATGGCTCCAAAATAGCAACTGGTTGAGAAGGCAAGAAAAAATACCCCCCACCTGAACACCACCAAGGAGTGGTTGGAGAAGAAACAAGTCTGTGTGGGCTGGAGGGGACTCTATGAAGGGACCTAGGGGCCCAGGAGATTCGCCATTCTGTGCAAGGCCTGGCAGGCCCAGTGGCACTGCCTGTGGATGTGACTTGCATGCTGACCACTGACCACCGCCTGTCTGTGCCAGTCCCTGTGCCAAGAGCCCACCCCCTCCTGCACCACCCCCAGGCTGTACCCACCACAATAGCGAAACACTGTGAATGCAGCTGGGATTTGGGTGGGGGCGGGGGGCAGGATGAGGACATGGGGGCACAGAAGCCCATTGTGCCCCTGGAACCTCAGCTCTGGAAGCTGAAGATAAGCCAAGGGTTCTGAGTGGAACAGTGGCCCTGAGAGCAGAGACAGAGATGGCAGAGTTTGTGTGCAGGTTGCAGGAGGAAGCACCAGGAGGTGACCTGGATGCTCGTCAGGGCTCCTCAGTCTGTGGTAAGGAGGCCAGGCCAAAGCAGCCTCAGGCACTTTGTGCAGTTTTTTAGAAGGCCTCTGTGTCCAGAGACGACTCTCTGAATCCCTGTTTCAACCCCTGGTCTGTGGCAACGATATATGTCTTTGGAGAGAGAATCCTCAGGCTCTTGGCTAAGCCCCTCCTCTCTCTCCAGGTACCAGGGAAGGTTCTAGAGGGAGTGGGGGTTGGGCAGCATGTGGGTCTTCTCTGCCAAGTTTTGTTTAGAATTTAAATTCACAGCAGAGTGGGGGCTGTAGAACTCCCCCTCCAGAAAAATAGAGTTACCACCTTCTGGAGTGTTATCTTTTGGGCCCCTCACTGGGATGCCCAGAGCCCCTCCTGGGTAGTCCCTGTACCCCCTCAGGGGGAGATGTGGCTGTCCTGCTCCAGGTCAGATGCTTAGGGCAGCCATTTTCTTTCCCTCTTCCACCAGGGACAGATGTGGCATGAAGATTTGGCCCTACAGTCAAGTGATGCTTTGTGGGGGTTGGGGAGGAGGCTTTGGGGTCAAACACATTTGGAACGCGTAGTATACTGCCCTTCCCTCGGAGATGCACAATGCCCACTAGCACAGTAAAGGCTCTGAGAAGTCCTTCAGTACAAAACCTGTTAACCTTTCTTCAGCCCAACATTTTCCATACCTATTTGAGCAGAGTACAGTCTTGGTACAGAACATCTGCCAGTGTTCTTCTAAATGTCCCCAGGCCTAGGGAATGCTCTGTTAGGGCACACCTCTCCTTGTTGTTGGATAGTTACAACCCTGAGGAGGCTCGTCCTGGAGCTGTTAACCCAGGTGCCCTCCCAGGTCCTAGTACCATCTTCTGCAGCACTGAAGACCCCTCCTCTTTGCCACTCTGGTCTGCCTATTGGAGATTTATGAACAGCAGCAAAGGTATCCCAAGGCCTAACAGATGGGGCTTCAGTCCTTAGCACAGACAGAGCACTTGATGGTAGGGTCCTGCTTTAAAGGTCCCCAGGTCTGGACAGTCTTTTGCAGGTTTTGATGTGCCCACCACAGGTGTCGAGGAGCCAAGCAGCTGCCCAGCTAGTGCAGATGTGTAGAACAAAGCCACATCTCTGTTCATGAGGATGGAAGTTTGTCTCACTGGGGCTGAGAGTAGGCTTCAGGAGCTGAAGTTTGTTCCCAGCAGCCTTTGTGGTCTGTGTGGGGTGGTGGGGCCAGCTCCAGGTCCTAGTAGGAATGGCCATTCCAGCCTAGCCAGGAGCTTGGGAGCATGCCCAGCTCCCTTAGCCACCCCTGGAAAGCTGAGCTCTGACTCGGGCAAGGACGACTGTCGTTCAAGGGCCTGTTGGCTGAGGTGGCCTGACCTTCCCTCCGTCAAACTAAGTTAACTGGGCAGGCCTGAGCTCATAGAGGAGGCCACACCTCATGGACCTTGTGAGTCAGGTGGGAGGGAGGAGAGCAGGCAGCATTAGTAATTAATAATTAGCAGAGGCAGAGAGCCTGGTGCTGTCAGCACCAAGGGGAGGGCCCTGCAGAGAAGATGGCCCTTGAGTAGCAGTCCCTTCTCTGGGGTGGTGCTATATTCTTGGCGTCTCTTTCTTCATAGCTCCCATTTTACAGAAGAGAAAACAGAGGCCTGACAAGTCACCCAGCATGTCAGTAGCAGAGCTAGATCTAGAACTCTCTGTAGTCCAAGCACAATTGTCTGTGGCTCGTCCTGCTGGTCTCCAGGTTGGCTGTCACCTGGATCATTCTCTGGGCCCCACTGCAGGGCAGCAGTAACCAGGGGCACTCTGTCAAGCCTCAATGCCTCTGATGTTTTATGTCTGATCCCAAACCTTTTGAGGAGAGGTAGGTGTTGGTTTCCTCCTATACCCCTGCTCCAGCTGCTTCCCAGAAATGCAGCGCAGGGTTCCGTGGGTTCTGAGTCCACGGGTGGCCTGGCTTGGGAGATACAAAGGAGATGGACACTGAGCACTTCTGAATACTTTTGTCTCATATAGCCTGTGTACACCATCCCCATTGTCCACATGGGGGAAACTAAGGCTCTTCAAGAG